CGCTGCCGCCGACCAGGCTGAGGCCGGCTCGCTCGCTCTGGGACTCCGACCCTCCAGGCAGGGCATGAGCGGGTCTTGGGCGGGCGTGGTCACAGCCAGCCCCAGCCCCAGCAGTGTCTAACGAAGCAGGTTCCTAGCATCTTCTTTTCCCTCTGCCACCTTTCTCCCACGCCGTCCTCTAACTGGCTTTTCTGCTCGTTATTACTTCTGGCACTGGGGACTGAACTGGAATCCGAGATGCGCCACCATCTCCCTTTTTGTATTTTTCATTTTGAGACAGGGTCTGGCTAAGTCACTAGGTTGCCTAGGCTGGGCTCGCATCTGCTATCCTCCTGCCTCAGCCTCCCAGAGTGCTGGGATGATTGGTGTGTGCCACCGTGCCCAGCCCTCCTAGGGTTTTCTGAGGCAGGAAGAAAACTAACTTAGAGGAGGTCCACCTGCGGGGTCGATTCCAGTCACCCGGCGCGAGGGGACCGAGGGCCTCTGACCACCACCTGGGCCCTGGGGCCGTCCCGGCGGAAGTGGGCACTCACGTTGTTGATCATGAGGTGCATGATGGTCTTTGGCATGAGGTCACGGATGGACTTGTTAATGATGGCCACGTACGAGTCCACCAGGTTGCGGATGGTCTCCACCTGCCGCTCCAGCTGCGGGTCCATGGAGAAGGTGTCCTGCCCCACGTCCTCGTTCTCCGCCTGCAGGACAGGGTGCAAGCGGTGAGTGGGACACAGCCCCGTGTTGGCAGCTGCCTCTGTCCTGGCCAGAGGTGCCAGGCGGGGGTGACCCGGGCTGAAGATGGGGGGATCGTGTCCCCTGGGGGTGGAGCACCCCATACCTCCCCAGCTCTGCGGCCCCCAACAGGGGACTTTCTGGACTGATCACAACCTCCTGTCTGCTCTGCGTGCAGAGTGGGCCCTGGCAAAGGGCGCCCAGCGCTGACCCTGTCCTTCCTGGCCCAGGTGGGGACAGCCTGGGCTGCGGGCACCGCGTCAGACAGGGCGGCTCCACACCTGGTCCTTCTCGGGGTAGACGCCGGCGCGCAGGAATGACGCCTTCCAGCTGTCCACGTCCTCCTGGGAGTCGCAGGCCAGCTCGATCTGCCGCAGGTCCTTGTAGACGTTCCTGGGGCGGGAGGGAGGGGCTGCTCTGGGGCCCAATCAGAGGCCTGGCTGACCACCCAGGGACTTGAGACTGACCCAGGTTCAGGACGGCACCCAAACTGCCCGTCATGCCGAGAAGCGGCATCTACACATAAAACAATGATGCAAGCGGGGTGTGGGGGTGCAGGCCTGTCATCCCAGCACTTGGGAGGCTGAGGCAGGAGGATCACCACAAGTGTGAGGCCAGCCTGGGCTACACAGGCTGAGACCCTGTCTCAAAAAAACCAAAACAAAAAATCCCATGTGGCAAGGGACAGGGAAGAGTCTGTTGTAGGAGTGCCCGTGACTTTGTTTTCTTTGGCACCGGTGATTCCTTCCCTGGGAAATGCCTGTCCCGTCCTCTCAGGCTCTCCTGGGGACCCCAGGTGCATGTCTCATGACTCCTGCTCTAGAGGGGGCTCCCAGTGAGGGTTCTGCAGGGAGCCTAGAGTGTCAATGACCACCAGAGCTTACTGCAGGCAGAAACGTCCGCCATCTGCCCGGTCCTATGGGGCAGCCACAGGAAGCTTTGGCAAATGTATTTTGTGCTCCAGCGCTGGGGATTGAACCCAGAGCTTTTGCACTAAGTTACATCCCTAGCCCTATTTATTTAAATTTTGAGACAGGATCTTGCTAAGTTGCCCCCGTGGAGCTTAAACTTGCAACCCTCCTGCCTCAGCCTCCCAGAGTGCTGGGATAACAGGTGTGCACCCCAGCACCAGAAATGAATTTTTAATTTTATTTCATTTTAGTTCATTTATATGAAAATAGCTGCATGTATCCATTGGTACTCCACTGCAAATCAGAGTTCTAGACGGTGGCTTGATTCCTGGGGGCAGCTTAGAAGTGTCAGGCTCACGTTGGTCAATGGGTAGCATTAAAACATGGTGGACCAGGGCCGTGGATTTAGCTCAGTGGTTCTGCTGCCTTCCTTGCAAGCGCAAGGTTCTGAGTTCGATCCCCGGTACCAAAAAAAAAATAGGATGACCTGGTGTTTGGGGACAGCATTCTGTAGGCAGGGTCCAGGGCGTATGCCTTGCTCACTAGCCTGTCCTACACCCCGGCAGGGTTGAGCAAGTCAAGCTGCCCTCAAAGCCTCCAAATGAGACCCAGGTTGCTTTTTCTCCTCTTTTCTGCTGCCTCGAATGTCATCAAGATGGCCGGAGTTTGGGCAGCTCACTTGGACGAGAGGCAGGAGCCATGTGTTGAGGAAGGCTGAGGAATAAAAAGGGGGCTGGGGAAGCTGCCCCCTGGCCTTGATGGGAAAGTTTAGTCTTGGCTGATGTAGTGGAACAGGGAAATGTTTTACTTGTTCCCACTACTATTTTTCTGGGTTTCCTGATCCTCACTTACTAAACAAGGAGGTCTGGTGCATGCTTGGCGAATGCTAGACCAGAGCCGCAACACCCCCCAGCCCCGTAGGATCCCCGCCCGGGGCTCACTGCTGAACTCCGGACTCTTGGGACTGCACCCAGAACCCCTGCCCCAGCGTCCTTGGCCTCACTTCCACCTAGAGCAGCCCTGCTCCCTGCTGCCCTGGGCCCTGGAGCCCTGTGCTGTCTGTTCCCTCCTCAGCCACCAGAGGGTGCGCGTGAGCACCCCAGTCTCTCCGACGGGAACTCTCCATGGCTCCACCTCACTCAGACCTCCGCCACCCCCGCCATGGCGGTTTACTGTTTCTCACCAACTTTCTTTTTTTCCTTCCCCCCAGTACTGGAGATTGAACCCTGGGGCTTCACACTGCGATCCATGCCCAGCCCTTTTTATTTTTTGAGACAGGGTCTTGGCTGAGTCACTGAACTGCCCGGCCTGAGTGGAACTGGTGATCCTCCTGCCTCAGCCTCCCAGAAGACCAGGTGTGTGCTGCTGTGCCTGGCTCCAACTCCCTTTCTAGAACCTGAGACCGCAGGGCAGAGACCCCTGACAGCGAGTGCTCAGTGAAAGCTATTGAGAGCCTTGAACGAGGCCACTGGCCTGTACCCCAACCCTGGGGGGACAGCAGCCCTCCAGCCCTCACCTCTGCTCCGTATTGAAGATGGCAAACACGTGCTTGTTGGACATGAAGCCCTTCTCGACGTCGCGGATCTTGAGGTTGTCCAGGGGCAGCATGTACTTCTTCTCTTTCTCCTGAGGGCCGAAGAGACAAGGGTCACCCTGGGCTGTCTGGCCAGCACCATGCAGCACTCTGGGGCAGGGCGCTTGTGATGCCTGTGGCTTTATGTGGTTAGTTTATCTGCCACTGCTTCCCCCCTTGCTGCCTCAACACCCCAGGTGGCTCCTACCCCAGGATCTTTGCACATCCGGGATCTCTGTCAAGAGTGCCCTGCCCAATGCTACATGGCCAGCTCTGTCTGTATCAGGACATTGTGCAGAAGGGGTCCTGGCCCTGCCTGGGCTCACTTGGCAGCACTTCCTGGAAGACAGGGGTGCCCATCCATTTCACCCACTGTGGATGCTGGGATCACTCAACTCTGCTCCACCCCTTACAGAGAGATGAGGCAGAGAAACCAGGAAGCTGAGACCTGGGCCTGCAGTCCCAAAGTGGGGGTGGTGCTCAGGGCCCTGTCACCACTGGCTCAGCTCTTGTGGCCACCAAGGAGTTGGGCCCCTTCTGGATCATGATACTAGGTCCTCAATATGTGTGTGGGGTGCGGCAGGGATTTAGCTCAGTGGTGCCACCGCCTGCCTTGCAAGAGTTTGATCCCCGGCACCAAAAAAAAAAAAAGTGTGTGTGTGTGTGTGTGTGTGTGTGTGTGTGACACAAAGAAGCTTTTCTTTTTTCTTGCATTTAAAAAAAATGTTGAATTGTTTTGTTTTGTTTGCTTTTTGAGACGGGGTCTTGTTATGCAGCACAGGCTGGCCTTGAACTTGCAGTGACCCTCCTGCCTCAGCATCCTGAGTGCTAGGATGACAGGCCAGGGCCACCACGCTCTGTTTCTCACTCTTAATTTTGTGAGACAGGGTCTTGCTAATTAATTTCCCCAGCTGGATCTTACTTTCAATCCTTCTGCCTCAGCCTCCCTAGCAGCGAACTAAGGCCGGTCTCACCACACCTGGGAAATGCTTATTTCTGAGGGCTGTTGTTTATTTTTACAGTGCGGGAGACAAAACCCAAGGCCCTGTGTATGCCTGGCAGTCACTCTGCCCACGAGCTGGTTTTCTACACTGGGGAAGCAGACTGCAGAGCCGGAGTCCCCAGCTGCCACAGCCAGGTGACCTGCAGCATCTGCTTGGGGAAATCTCCCCTTCAACCTGCTGAGGACAATGCCACTCAGAGACAGCAGCCGGCTGCCAGGGACACAGCACTGACGTGACACAGCATGGAACCCCACAGCCAGGTTCTCCACGGTTTCCACACCTTTCTTTACCACCCAGGTCTCCTCCTCAGGCGCCCGTCTGTACTGCTGAAGGCCCCAGAAGGAAGCCTCGCCTGGCTGTCACCTCTGTTAGAAGAGCGGCCACGGCGATGGAGGTCACAGCGTGGTGCCCCTCAGCAAGGGGGCCAGTACACACCTGTCATCTCAGCACTCTGCAAGGCTGGCAGGAAGATTGCTAAATTTGAACCCAGCCTGTGCAACATAACAACTTAGTAAGGCACTGTCTCAAAATTAAGAATTAAAAATGGGTTGCCAGGAGCCTGTAATCCCAGCACTCGGAGGCTGAGGCAGGAGGATCGCTGTGAGTTCCAGACCAGCCTGGGCTACACAGTGACTTCAGGTCAGTCTCACTATATAAGTGAGACCCTGTCTCATAAAACAAAAAACAAAACAAAAAAAGGCTGGAGATGTAGCCCTGGGTTCAATCCCTAGTACCGTGTAAAAAGAAAGAAAAAAAAAAAATCAGCCAGGTGTCGGGGTGCATGCCTGTCATCCCAGCACTCGAGAGGCTGAGGCAGGAGGATCGCTGTGAGTTCGAGACCAGCCTGGGCTCCATAGTGAGTTCCAGGTCAGACTCAACTACATAGTGAGACCCTGTCTCAAAAAAAAGAAAAGAAAAAAAAAAGGGGCAGGGAGGCAGAATAGAAGCACAGGCTGGCCAAGTGACAAAGCACTAAGCTCAGTGCCCCTACACAGCTGGTGCCAGTGAGGCCCCAGGGTCACCCACCCATGTCCTGGGCAGCAAGGACACAGGGCAGAGGTGTGCAGCCCACCCCTGGGTGGGGAAAGGAGAGACTGTCACGGTGGTGGCAGGCAGGCAGGCAGGGGAGCAAGCGTGGGGCCAAGAGCCGGGTCCGGCTGCGCCCTGCCCGGAGGTTTCCGGAAGGGCCTCCGGGTCCCCACCCTCACGTGTCATGAGGCAGGAAGCCGCAGCTGCCGGCGGGGCCAAGTGACTGAGTCACAGCCGTCCCGCAGGGATGCCCCATCTGGAAGTGTTTGTCGTGATTCTGCCTCCCTGCACATCCACGGACACGGCAGGCACGTGCCCCTCCCCTGCACAGAGGCCAGCAGCCCGCGTCCTCCTCCCTCGGATTTCCTGAAAACCCTCGGCCTTCTCCAGATGCGAGGCTGCGGCGGCCTTGCCACGTCAGGGCGGACAGCGCGGACGGCTGGACCGGCGGGCCGGGCCATGTGCAGACCCCCGCGTAGGAGGCTGTGCAGGTGTACAGCAGTCTGCACGTGGTGGGGCTGGGCTCGGGCGAGCGGTCGGGAGGTGAGTGCCACCACGGCCGCCACCATGGCTCGCGACTCCGGAGTGCAGACAGCCTGGGTGGGACCTCTGGGGCTGGGGTCTCCGGCCAAAGGGTCCCGTCCTCACCCCATGCTGTCAGCGCCCCCTTGTTTATTTCTGAAACAAAGAGATCCCCACTTCTTGTCTCTCGCTGTGGCTTCTCTGCGAGGGTGGCCGCCACACGTGTGAGGCCCCGGGTTCCCGCGGAGGAGGTCGCGCCAGCGCCCCCGGGTCCTCGCCTGCTTTGTCTGGGGCACACAGGGCCCCTTCC